CGGATCACGGATCGGATCACGGATCGGGTCACAGAAAAAAAAAACCAAAGTTTTAAAGAAAAAAAAATCAAAAACAAAAATCAAACCGTTTATAAGATGATAACAAATAAAAAATAAAAGTGGAAAACTAAAATATGTTAAATGAAAATAAGAATTCCGAATTTGACGCAATGACATGTTAATTACAGAGAATGACAAGAGGTNNTCCGATCCAGGTTTTGTCGACGCCGGTTTATTATGGCCAGCTCCGTGAGCAGTCAAGATGAATCAAATCCTGCACTGTGATTGGCTACCCGAGCGGGCAAGATGGAGTTATCTTGCCCGCTCGGGACTACCTGTCGTGTCCTGCAAGAAAAATTTCCCTGAAAGCCATATAATAAATCCTTTATTGACCAAGCTTGTTCGGTCAAAATGGCTTGATATTGGCCTCGTCCTTTTTTTGCGAGGTTATGGACCTCGACTCTGTCTCGCCCATAAACACGCAAAAAAAAGAACTTGGACAATATCCAGCCATCTTGACCTCACACTTGGTCAATAACCCATATGTATTTCAAATTTTGTAAATATATTTGCATATGTGAGGGGGGTTTTGTTTTCAATTGATGTCCCCAGAAGGCAAATACCCAACAGGGCTTAACCCATTTGGGTTTGACTTTACGGTACTCCCAGTTACAAAAAATAAATAAGCACTTCCTCATAATTGCTTGGTCACTCTGCCAAAGGGGCCTGGTAAACAGGAAGAAATAGAAATATCATTACTATGAATATTATTAGTGTATAATGTTAACTATAGTTAAGCATTATGAGCACAAAATAATTTTATAGAGTTCTCTTCTGTTAAATTTGTTGATTAATTAAATCTCCATAGTTCAATTTGTTTGATCTGCCACAAGGCAATAACATATATCATACCTCGATGCAACTTTTCATCTGTATTTTCCTTTGTAGTGGTAGACTAATAGTTTTCTTGCATAAGTGGTACCAAATTTGAATAACATTGCATCAGAAACCTTAACCTTGTGCTCATGTTTGTAGGCAAAGATTTTTCTTATCAGTGTAAAGCAGAGGTTTCCTAATGCATTATTATTTAAATGAGAGGCCACTTTATGTAATTGTCTAGACTACACCCCTTAAAAAAATTGACAACAAAGTCAGTCCAAATGGTTAAGTAGTTCAGTAGTTCAGTGCAAGGTGCAGTGATGTCCTACCAAAGTCAAAAGTTAACAAACAAAGTCCTGACCAAGCAAAGTTCCTAATTCTACCCCCCTCCCCCACCCCCTCCCCTTTCCCTACCCACCTCCTCAGGTAAGCTGATAAAAAGTGCAGCAAACTTACATAATGAGTTCTGATCATTCAGAGAGCCTAACAGTGTTAGAGCCTAGTGTCTGCATCACAATTTTGGAACCTCCAAAAATTGTTTGAATTGGGTTTTAGTTTTTGCAAGGGGGGTGGGGCAGGGTGGCTGCTACCTAGGGTTGCAGTATCAATGGGGCATAATCCCTAAATGGTGTAATTTGAGAATTGGATCCTAATTAAAACTGTTACATAAGAAAAACTAGTCAGCAATGCCACAAAGTAGGAAAAAAAAACAGTGTTTGCCTATATTCTTATTTTTTTTTTTACTTTAGGATTTGGTTTCAACATTCGTGGAGGTTTTGACCATCCCCATGTTGGCTCTGACCCAGGCATTTTCATTACCACTGTCAGGGCTGACAGTACAGCAGGAATAGATGGCAGACTGGAGCCAGGAGACAGGATACTGGCAGTAAGTGTTCATCAGATTGGTTGTGTGTCTTTCAGTCTTGATGATCTACAAATTCAAAAGAAGGATGCATGTAACAGGAAAGTAAAATAAATAGCACCAGTAATGATGTCATACGGCAAGTTAACGATAAACAGTTTATCTGGTAAATATGTAGCTAAGTTACAAAATTTTGGAGAGGTACAGTGCAATCTTGATTTTTCAAACCTATAAGGGAAATGAAAATTGGTTTGAAAAATACGATAGTCCAGGAAATCAGTGGTAAAATTACAGTGTTCAACCAAGGAGAGCAAAACAACTTTTGGTTCGAGTTATCAGGATGTTCGAAAGAATGAGAGTTTCGAGAAATAATTTGGGATTCCACTGTATAATGACATGTTAAGAATACTTTTTGAATGCAATTAAATTTTGAAGTATTTCATTTACAGGTGAATGCTACAAGCCTAGAATGTGTGACTCATGATGTAGCAGTTAATGAATTTCGCAAAGCTGAAGAATCAGTTTCGCTACTAGTGGAAAAGAATGCCGAAGCTCAACTGCTGGTGAGTTTCATTTGGGGGGACATGAACCTACCTGTCATCCATCAGGAACAACTAGTGCAGGTGGAATAAGGAAGGGGGGTTTAAGTTGTGTTTGTTGTTTAATTTTTCATAAAGATAATCTTGAAAATGTCAAGACAGGACCAAAAAAGCCCTTTTGGTGAGTTATTTTTGAATATACCGTAAGTAACAAACAATGGAGCAAGTTTTACTTTTTGCCAAATCATGGAAAATCTGTGAGCTTTCAAGTGTCGGTGATCAAAAACAGAGGTTTTCCTTGAATTCTCTTTTGCATCTTGGGGTAGCTATTTCTTGATCATTCTCTTGAACAACAAACCATCTAGAAGTTTGTAGTAGTGCAGTGTGCTAACATGACAAATGTATTTCAAGACAGGACTGTGTGATCTAACTTCACTACATGATCTGACTTCTCAATGGTCACCTGGTAAAAACAAGATCAAATTAAACACTAGAACATAACATGATCGTCCGTCAATACATTATGTTTGCTTCCAGGGCAGTTGATTTTCACTTTTTTTACTACAGACACAGCAAGTTCCAAACTCACCAGAGGAGACTGTAGTAGATGGCCCTCCAATACTTGGCCCTTGTGAGGAAGAACCACCGCATCCTGCTATCAGCTTGTTAAAACAGTTCTACGAATCTAAACTAGGCGCCTTATCAATTGGATTAGCAGTAGGAAGTTTAGCTGTATTTGTCGCTCTTAGAATATATAAAGCTGCTAAATAACATTGGAACATATCTGTGTGTAGCTACTCCTTTCATGCCCTGGGGTTATAAGATCTATTTTCTCCATACAACTAGACTGCTACTGTCAAGTAGGCAAGTGTGGAGAATTTCAAAGTCATCAACAAAGGGAGCTTTTCATCTTTAGTTATCTCAGGACCGCAAGGAAGGATTTGCAGAAGAAGTTGATAGTTGTGCACAAAGACAAGACAAAGGAACCTCCGTATCATTTTCTTAAATGGCTGACACTTGACACGAGAAGACTTTTATGCAGTGATTGAACATGTGGCGGCCAGTGTATAGAAACTGCTACTGTGCTCAGTAACTGGGAAAAGAGCTCCAAGTAGGAATGAACTATTCCTGTGAAGCTGCCATCTGGTTTTATCCTAGTCTTCTGTTAATTGTGGTTAATTTTATTGTAATTGTTTTAAAGTGAATTAAGATGGTGAGTTGTAAGCTCGGTAATGATTGTGAAAAATGAACTCATCAACATGACACAACAAAGAAAAAAGAAAAAAATCTGAGTCCCAGACAGGAATCAAACCCACTCTCGTGTCATGTTGATAAGTTCACTTTTTGCATTAATTGTTTTTAGTTTCTTATTTTTGGTGCAAGGTTATTCTTACTTTTTCAGAACCTCTGTGATTTCCTTAAAATCAACGATTATCTAGTATATAATGTATTTATGTACATAAAGAGTGATTGGGCTATTAATGATCAGGTAAACTGTTTGCAGTCTTTTTCTCTCGAAAATCAAAAACGGAAAACTGTACAAAACAAGCTGTAAGAGTCGTGATTTGGACGAGAGACATGGGCGCGGCGCCTTAAGGGAAGAAAAACCACCTTGTCGTCCACACCGCGTTTTTTTCTGCGTCCGACCTCACGACGTGTAATGCTTGTCGGACTCAGAGAGAAGTTGACCTGCTCTTCTTTGAACCTCAATTTTGATTCGTTCCTTTTAATCTGCACCTGTTTTGTTTTTAGAGCTAGAGGCAGTGTTTGTGTTGTTTTCCTATTGTTTCGTTTGGCCAATTATAAAGAACCTTGTGAATGGTGCAGGTCGCCCCTCTGCGAGAAAAGGCCAACTGCAAGCAGGCTACTCATGACGAAAGGTGTTTTTATTATCAGCTATTTTCTTAACTTATTAAAGGAACACGTCACGGTATGCGCATCTGGTTCGTCGTTTGTAATCCGTGTTAATCTTCTCCATCCTTAACCATCCTTTTTCCTTTATGGTTTATTATTATTTCTTTAGTGTTTTTCTATCTTAGTAAACTGCTATTTTCTGGTTTCCTTCAATACAAAGGTAATCTTGTACGTGGCCAAAATAACTCTAAATGCTGTGATTGAGTTCCTTTCAATATGAGCAGTGGGCTAATATGAGCTAAGAGGCTTGCAGAGTATGAACATTTCTTAAATTTTTGCGCTTCAAATTACGATTACTGCAAAGCTAAGTCCTCTCTACAACCAAAATTTACGGCTTCAAAAGAATTCAAGGGTCGGGACATCGACTTTTTTATTGTTTATGTAAGGTTCATGTTAAGCGTAATTTTTACGTCCATTGTTAGTTTCGTTTAAAGGCCCGCTCAAACGCAGGTCACATTTTAGTGGAACATGCGCACCTCATCTTGAACACGTTTGTACGACCCACAGAACGATCCAAGAATGTTGCAACGTGTTTTTTTTTCGTTGAAATGTGGTGTGCAGTGGGCAGAGCGTCGTTCTAATATTAAAGCCTATTTAAGGCTCCTGTCAAACTTATCAGTGGATCTAAGTGTTTTAGAAATTACAAATTGTTCACTCACTTGTACTGTTTGTTTGTTTGTTTTTGGCGCTCGTTCCCGACTTTTCTATCGTTTTTTAGAGGCCGTGACGCTTGTGCTGTTAAGCGTGAGTTACACTTGCTTGCAGACTATAATTGGTGGTTGAGTTATTGGGTCCGTGTAGTTACTGAAACATGGACTTATAGCCTGCATGTTGAATTGTTTTTTTGGTTGAACTTACGAGCAACGTGCGTGCCAAGTGTCCTCGCAGAAACTACGAAAGCTTTCAATTGCTGGATCATGTCACTAGCAACGTGGTTTTTCACGTGACCAGTGACACTGTTAAACCGCATGGCGTGTAACAGTTTGGGCGATATAACGGAAGAGTCAGTACAGCCTACGTAACAGTTATTCTATATCAGTACAATTGAAATTACTTCCCCGTTGCAAGGAAACGGTCATTTTATGTCACGCGAGGGTCAGCTCATACCACTATAATTCAACAAATAAAAACTACATTAAGCCCCCACTCCACCCCACCTCCCTCTCAAAACAACTCCTCCCTGATAAGCTCTCTCTTTTGAACTAAGAAATATCGTAACCCCTACCCTCACTCTCTTACCCTCACCCGCCTTGAGCAGGGCTTTTTTTCCCTCAAATCATTTTATGTTCTCACGTACTAGTGAGAAAATTATAGGGAACACTTTTCATTGTAAAAGCCTTGTAATTTCTACCAAAATAAAACACCAACAAAACTGAAGATTTTTGAGAGCCCGTCAAGACATTCATTCGTTTCGGGTGGTTAAAGCAATCGATTTGATGACTACTAGCGTGAGGTCTCGATTGCCTCAGTGGTCCTCAGTTTATATGCAGTCACTCGAAGAAAGGCTAACTAAAACGTAACTATAGGATAAAACAAATAGGATAAAATAAAGGATTTAATTTGGGAGCACTGAAAGCTGAAAAAAACCTTTATTCTTAACTCCATGGGAACTGGGAGGGAAACCTTCCATCTATAAACAAAGCTTTGTGGATTTCAGACTACAATGAAATTTACATGGTGGGCAGAAAAACAACAAACGTGTACGATGGCATAACTTAAGTTGTTTCATCAATTTTTGCAAGGGCATTGCCAGGACGAGTTGAGTTGTATTCGTTTAGGATAATGCCAGGTTGATAATACGCGAACATTCAAAAGAAATCATGATAAAAACATGAATGTCAGTATGTTTGGATTGGATCGCTCGTAAGCGAACGTTTGAAAAACAAAACTTTCAGTCTTTCTATCGATGTAACACAAATTAAAAATAAACAGAGGAATCCGAAGGTTTTGCGTATTTCACTATAATTAAAATGACCCAGAGCTTTGTTGAAAAGTATTGTCACAAATGATTGGCAGAATACAAAACGTGCAGGCTAATACGGGAAGTTGTTTCGTAATATAATTTTGGTAGCAGGTGGATAGTTTAAAGACAATTTAAATAATTAATAGTATTTGACCCAGCGCCATATCCACGAAACAGTTCTATTTGATGAATTTACACAGTGAAAGTCTAAACTAGACCGGAGCAATGTTAAATTTATCGTCTAAGTGAATGTAAATAAAGAAAAAATTAAGTTGTGTTCGAATTCTGCTACACAGTCAGTACCGTGTTTTTTTTTACCCCGAGACAAAACGGTGGAAGAATAAATTCACTAAGACTATGATCAAACTGGATGTTTCCATGACAGTCATATCTTGACAGATATGCTTTGCTCCTGTCGAATTTCTTGCTAAAGCCCAAATTTATTTTAACATAGACTTATTAAATACCAATCCCAGCGCGCTGAAACCTCTGCAGGGTTCCCAGTACTATGATCTGGTTGTTAACTACGACATTAGGGTAAGGAATACATTACTTTGACCAACATGCACGACAACTGAAAATCTGCCTTCAAGGTATTATTACAACGCAGAAGTTTCTATGCGAGATTTTAAAAAAAGTCTTTACCCCAATACAATAATTACTTTCTCAATACGTTACAGTCTGTCTGCTGTTACCCTTTACTACTGTTACACAAAATTTATTTACTACTTCCAATCAAGTCGTGTTTAAACTTTAAAAATGTATTTTGGCCAGGCCGATGTTCCTCATACCGAATGTCAGAACGGATGCTGTGGAAGCCAATCATGTTTAATGGAGGGACCTGTCACGAGACTTATGACGTCACAGGCAAGAGATTCACCTACTCATGCAAGCAACACTTCACGGGAAGATTTTGCGAAACCGGTAAGTCTGGTACATGCAAATACATGTTTTACTTGATTATTTGTCTGATATAGCTTGCAACCTATATCAACGTGGTCTCCTGCAATCTCTGGCATGTCGCTATTGTATCTGACGTTTTACGTATTTGCAATGGCTCTCTGTGTTATTTTAGCCAGTTTATAACATCAAATATGCTGCAATAGATTGATAAAAAGTCAAAATTGTTTGAAATACTTTTTAAAATCTTTCAATTTTTATCGAGGGAGATTAAAGATTTAGTTTCTTTTCAAATGTCTTTGAACATGTTTGTTAAGTTCTGTTGTTATAGAGATGATCGAAACACNCCCCCCCCCCCCCACCCCCTCCCCTTTCCCTACCCACCTCCTCAGGTAAGCTGATAAAAAGTGCAGCAAACTTACATAATGAGTTCTGATCATTCAGAGAGCCTAACAGTGTTAGAGCCTAGTGTCTGCATCACAATTTTGGAACCTCCAAAAATTGTTTGAATTGGGTTTTAGTTTTTGCAAGGGGGGTGGGGCAGGGTGGCTGCTACCTAGGGTTGCAGTATCAATGGGGCATAATCCCTAAATGGTGTAATTTGAGAATTGGATCCTAATTAAAACTGTTACATAAGAAAAACTAGTCAGCAATGCCACAAAGTAGGAAAAAAAAACAGTGTTTGCCTATATTCTTATTTTTTTTTTTACTTTAGGATTTGGTTTCAACATTCGTGGAGGTTTTGACCATCCCCATGTTGGCTCTGACCCAGGCATTTTCATTACCACTGTCAGGGCTGACAGTACAGCAGGAATAGATGGCAGACTGGAGCCAGGAGACAGGATACTGGCAGTAAGTGTTCATCAGATTGGTTGTGTGTCTTTCAGTCTTGATGATCTACAAATTCAAAAGAAGGATGCATGTAACAGGAAAGTAAAATAAATAGCACCAGTAATGATGTCATACGGCAAGTTAACGATAAACAGTTTATCTGGTAAATATGTAGCTAAGTTACAAAATTTTGGAGAGGTACAGTGCAATCTTGATTTTTCAAACCTATAAGGGAAATGAAAATTGGTTTGAAAAATACGATAGTCCAGGAAATCAGTGGTAAAATTACAGTGTTCAACCAAGGAGAGCAAAACAACTTTTGGTTCGAGTTATCAGGATGTTCGAAAGAATGAGAGTTTCGAGAAATAATTTGGGATTCCACTGTATAATGACATGTTAAGAATACTTTTTGAATGCAATTAAATTTTGAAGTATTTCATTTACAGGTGAATGCTACAAGCCTAGAATGTGTGACTCATGATGTAGCAGTTAATGAATTTCGCAAAGCTGAAGAATCAGTTTCGCTACTAGTGGAAAAGAATGCCGAAGCTCAACTGCTGGTGAGTTTCATTTGGGGGGACATGAACCTACCTGTCATCCATCAGGAACAACTAGTGCAGGTGGAATAAGGAAGGGGGGTTTAAGTTGTGTTTGTTGTTTAATTTTTCATAAAGATAATCTTGAAAATGTCAAGACAGGACCAAAAAAGCCCTTTTGGTGAGTTATTTTTGAATATACCGTAAGTAACAAACAATGGAGCAAGTTTTACTTTTTGCCAAATCATGGAAAATCTGTGAGCTTTCAAGTGTCGGTGATCAAAAACAGAGGTTTTCCTTGAATTCTCTTTTGCATCTTGGGGTAGCTATTTCTTGATCATTCTCTTGAACAACAAACCATCTAGAAGTTTGTAGTAGTGCAGTGTGCTAACATGACAAATGTATTTCAAGACAGGACTGTGTGATCTAACTTCACTACATGATCTGACTTCTCAATGGTCACCTGGTAAAAACAAGATCAAATTAAACACTAGAACATAACATGATCGTCCGTCAATACATTATGTTTGCTTCCAGGGCAGTTGATTTTCACTTTTTTTACTACAGACACAGCAAGTTCCAAACTCACCAGAGGAGACTGTAGTAGATGGCCCTCCAATACTTGGCCCTTGTGAGGAAGAACCACCGCATCCTGCTATCAGCTTGTTAAAACAGTTCTACGAATCTAAACTAGGCGCCTTATCAATTGGATTAGCAGTAGGAAGTTTAGCTGTATTTGTCGCTCTTAGAATATATAAAGCTGCTAAATAACATTGGAACATATCTGTGTGTAGCTACTCCTTTCATGCCCTGGGGTTATAAGATCTATTTTCTCCATACAACTAGACTGCTACTGTCAAGTAGGCAAGTGTGGAGAATTTCAAAGTCATCAACAAAGGGAGCTTTTCATCTTTAGTTATCTCAGGACCGCAAGGAAGGATTTGCAGAAGAAGTTGATAGTTGTGCACAAAGACAAGACAAAGGAACCTCCGTATCATTTTCTTAAATGGCTGACACTTGACACGAGAAGACTTTTATGCAGTGATTGAACATGTGGCGGCCAGTGTATAGAAACTGCTACTGTGCTCAGTAACTGGGAAAAGAGCTCCAAGTAGGAATGAACTATTCCTGTGAAGCTGCCATCTGGTTTTATCCTAGTCTTCTGTTAATTGTGGTTAATTTTATTGTAATTGTTTTAAAGTGAATTAAGATGGTGAGTTGTAAGCTCGGTAATGATTGTGAAAAATGAACTCATCAACATGACACAACAAAGAAAAAAGAAAAAAATCTGAGTCCCAGACAGGAATCAAACCCACTCTCGTGTCATGTTGATAAGTTCACTTTTTGCATTAATTGTTTTTAGTTTCTTATTTTTGGTGCAAGGTTATTCTTACTTTTTCAGAACCTCTGTGATTTCCTTAAAATCAACGATTA